AACAGCTTAGTTCTTGAACGTTTGGGCTCCTGAACGCCACAAACCCGGAAGTGACTGTTCCGGTTTGCGAACTATTTTTGGAAGCCGAACATCCGACAGGGCTTCCATGGGTTCTGATTGGCTGCAGGAGCTTCCTGCAGTCAACCAGAGGCCGCACTTTGGTTTCCGAATGTTCTGGAAGTCAAACAGACTTCCGGAAAGGATTCCGTTCAACTTCCAAGATACGATTGTATGTAGGAAAGTGGCCTTCAACTGGTAAGTTGGCATCTACTACCAGGTCGCAGACTGAACTAAAGTGGGTCACAAAAGTAGCACCATCACCATACAAATACAGTATATAAGCATTATTTTTTTTAGGTAAAGGTAAAGGACCCCTGGACAGTTAAGTCCAGTCAAAGGTGACCATGGGGTTGCAGTGCTCATCTCACTTTTCAGTCCAAGGGAGCGGGCGTTTGTCTGCAGAGAGCTTTCTGGGTCATGTGGCCAGCATGACTAAACCACTTCTGGTGCAACGGGACACCGTGACAGAAGCCAGAGCACATGGAAATGCCGTTTACCTTCCCGCCACAGTGGTACCTATTTATCTACTTGCAGTGGTGTGCTTTCAAACTGCTAGGTTGGCAGGAGCTGGGACAGAGTAATGGGAGGTCACCCCGTTGAAAGGATTTGAACCGCCAACCTTCTGATCAGCAAGCCCAAGAGGCTCAGTTGCTTAGACCACAGCGCCACCCGCTCCCGAACCCTTTTTTTAAAATATGGGATCCTCAAATGCATGTTTGGGTTAAAAGTGGGTCCCAGGTCTTAAAACACTGAAGACTACTGGTGTTACATGAGATTTCACAGTACAGTGGTACCTCGGGTTACATACGCTTCAGGTTACATACGCTTCAGGTTACAGACTCCGCTAACCCAAAAATATTACCTCGGCTTAAGAACTTTGCTTCAGGATGAGAACAGAAATCGTGTTCCGGTGGCGCGGCGGCAGTGGGAGGCCCCATTAGCTAAAGTGGTACCTCAGGTTAAGAACAGTTTCAGGTTAAGAACAGACCTCCAGAATGAATTAAGTTCTTAACCCGAGGAACCACTGTACAATGGTAAAGCATACACTTAGCATGTATGAAATCTATGGCATCCATAGTTAAAAGGGACTCAGATATCAGAATTCTAGAATGAGATTCTGATTCTTCCCACAAGATGGCAGCCGTTTGCTGTCATCAACACTAAAATAGGACTGGGTGGGGTAACTGGGGATAGTTTCTTGAGCGTTCAGTATTGCTCTTTCATATTTCTCTCTCTCCATCTAAAGCGTATGTCTTTTTCTTCTACACACAGATGAGTCACAAATCCAAAATTATTTGACATTAGATACAGTGCCAGACTATGCTTCATTACAAATGAAGGAGGAGTCAAAAATATTATTCCAGAGTCTGTCTTTGTGAGAATTCTCCACTTTTCTGCCTAAAGACTGAGGCTGGCTGTTACTAACAGATGCAGTAAATTAACTTACGAATCCAAAAGACTCAGCAGTCACAAAGAGCCCTGCAACTAATTAATTGCACACAGAACAACTCATCCTTGCTCTTTTGCCAGACAAGAAAAGGCTAAAGGTCTGTGTGAGTCACCCTCTTAATTTTCAGCTTTCAGAGGCACAAGTCATTTGCTTCTGTTTTGAGATGAGAAAGCATTCATTTTTTTTTTTAATTGATATTTATTGAATTTTCAAAAAATAACAACAAAAATTTCCAAAAAAAAAAAAAAAAAAATTTAGGATACAAAAAACAAAAATAGTGCATAAACAAAAAAGAAAAGAAAACCCAGCCGCAAAGAAAGAAAAAAAAAAAGAAGAACAGAAAAACAAAAATATAAAGTCCTTTACAATCTCTATTGACTTCCTTTCTAGACTTCCTCCTCCTCCCCTCTTTTGTTTCTTAATTTTTGATTTTTACAGCAAATCCTTTCTGTTTTTTCATAACAATCTGTCATTACGTTTCCTTATTCTATTTTCACTCTTGTCATATAAAAACTTTAAAACTCATAGCTTATATTCAATATTTACCAAATTCTTGCATCATTACCTTTTACGAATCATTTACCAATCCTACTTAAGCCATGTAATTTCATTCAACATCCTTCAAACATTTGTAAGCATTCCCAATATTAAAAAAAAGAAAAATTAATAAGTCGAATTCAGTCCAGTCAGCTTCCAACCTCCCCTCCCCTGGACCCGGGATTGTCAGTCCTTTTAACCTCCCTTAACCTGGTTGTCTCGTATCCGAGGCCCTCAAGTCTCTTTCTTGCCCCTTTCGCCACTCTTGTTGATGATTCCTTTCCAGTCGTGGATGCTCCAGCAAGAAAATGCTTTTGACCCTTTGCAGCAAGTCCATCCCAAACCCATTGCCCAAGCCAGACAGCAAATAATACCACTTCAAATTTCCACAAAGCTTGGAGACTTCAGCTACTCCAATCCTCTGATAGCCCATCACCAGACTCGGAAGGTCCAAATAACCATATGGAGGGGGGTCGATCCATCCCCCCATTTCCAAATCTGACCACATTTCATCTTTCCGAATCTGGTTTGTCCCAAGTTCATTTATCAAGTTCAAAGGCTGATCTTGCCCGTCCAAAGGTCCCTCCATCTCTGAAGCCTCCGTCACTACAGCAGGTTCATATGCTTGTATAGCCTTTAACTGAATTTCATTTGTTTGCTGCTGTGCTCTGGTAACTTCCATCCTCAAGGTCGTCTCCTGACGCATCTGGTCCAGCTGGGCACTTAGTTTTGAAAAACCTTCCAGGAACAATTGTTCAAGCCTTTGTACTAGCATTGTCCTTCAAGGTCAAAGAAAATTCTTTCCCACGAGAGTAGTCCAATAGTCCTTCTCTTTTAATCTCTCTGCGTTGTAATTTCACTAAATTCCACTAGATGGAATTTTTTTTTTTTTAAGGAATAAAAGCAACAGCAACAATCTTTCTTTTTCCAGAAACACTTTATCCAAAATTCCCTTCCAAATTCAAGAGGCAACAGTAGAATCAAAATGTTACCCTTCTTTAACTAACTGCACACACCCCAGTTTACATGTCTTCTGCCTCTAGTACTCTTTTTTATTGTTGCTGTTCCAAGTATAACCATAATTTCTAATTTCTAATTGTTGTTCCAGCACTCTGATTTACCAGGAGACCAGAAAAACAGGGCCTGTTCCAAGTAAATAAGGCACAGGCCCTCCAAGTGCCCCTACCTTTCAGGGAAAAGCCCCAGATTTACAGAAGCTGTCCTGGTTTCTGGTTTCATCCCAGAAGGTCCCCCTTTTCTTTAGGGTGTCCCTGTTTTCATATTTTCAAATGTTGGATGGTATTATCTGTAATCCTACACACACTTTCCTGGCACAACTCTTTCTGGCAGGTGTGCATACCTAGAGTAATACAGAAGTGTTTCACATTTACAAAGGGATTAAGGCACACTTGAATTTCTAGCCACTTTTGATTATGCTTTCCTTTTGCAAGTGAAATAATCTGTTTCTCTCTAATGTCCCATTTAGCACTCCTTGCAATTCAGGATTAAATAATAGCCCAGCAGCCTGTGCATATCTTTTAGCCAAGACAGTTTTAGCCCCTCAGCTGTTATTGACCTTCGCCCCCCTGCCAACCAGGGGTAGCCCTCACACGTTGCTGTAATCCAACCCCCAGCATGCTCCATTCCTCTGGAATGCACCGACCTCTGCTCTAAACCAGCCTTTCCCAACCTGGGGTTGTCTAGATGTTTTGGACTACAACTTCCATCACCCCAGCCAAGCTAGCAAAGGTGGGCCTAAACTCCCGAGCAAGTGAGAGATCAGAAAGCTCAGCTTCATCTGGGTTATTCCAGCTCAGCTTTGCCAATAGCTGCTACCCTCCTAAGGCAAGCCACAGCTTCGGGAAGTCAATTCTTGACAGGATTGGGCAGGGTGGGGGGTAGAGGTGAGAAAGAGAGAGAGAGAAAATTCCTCCTGCGCTATGAAACAGCAACACAGACACATTAAATGTGATGGTGCTTTTTAAACAGTATGTTTGTAGTTTGGAGCTCAGCTTCTGCTGCTGGTACAGTGGTCCGTTCTGTACCGGAGGTCCGTTCTTAACCTGAAACTGTTCTTAACCTGAGGTACCACTTTAGCTAATGGGGCCTCCCGCTGCATGCCGCACTGCTGCCACGCGATTTCTGTTCTCATCCTGAAGTAAAGTTCTTAATCCGAGGTACTATTTCTGGGTTAATGGAGTCTGTAACCTGAAGCGTCTGTAACCTGAAGCATCTGTAACCTGAGGTACCACTGTATCTTGGATCCCACCCCCTTTTTTTTCCTTCAGTACAATCGCTGCTGTTGACCAAAGGAAGATATTTTAGAAGCTTGTTGATGTTAATCTCAACTCACAAACTTTGGCTGCATTCTTCCTGAGGAGATTTAACTAGCTACTGCAAACTTTGTTTTCTGAGTGAGATCACTGCAGGGCAGATACTTTGCTTTCTTTCCTTTAAAAAAAAATACTTATTTAAAACTTTATTTAGCACAGCAATCAATTTTAGTCCTTTTGACCCCAGGGGCTGTTTGTGTTTTAAAAGGGTGGCTTTATAAAAGAGCCAGGATCAGCACCTTAGCACATGACAACGCAACAAAGTTCAGTGAAATCCAACTCCTTCCATGTTCTCCATGAACAGCTTCCATTGTGCTAGTTTTGCACAGTCCAGAAAAGGAGGACAAGGGAGGGGGACAGAAGGACGGGCTCGCTTTTGTCTGAAACAGCGAGGCATGGTGCAAAGACAAAGAGACCCCTTGGAATGGGGTCAGTGTGATAATTTAAGCAAAAGAAGAGCTCTTATTTTTAACCACTACAATGCTGGATGCTAGTTAAATATTTGGTACACATTGAAGGGTTGCCCAATCTGCATCCAGTCTAAAGAAAGAACCATAAGTACAGAAAGCTGTGAAACTGCCCACCTGAAGTCAGCACCCAGACAGAGTACCCCTAAACTTAGTACGTGTGTGTGTGTGTGTGTGTGTATTTATATATATATATATATATACATACACACACATATATATGCACATGTACATATAAATTAGCATATGGAAAGTACCATCTTTTTTGTAATGCATATGTAGCCACAACCCTATCAGAGAAACAAGGCCATGTTGCATGTTATAGGCCCAGCCATCAAGTAAAAGCTCTTTCAAAATACTCAGGAGAGAAACTGACATTTTTGTGATAACTTATGGAATGGGTGCCTGGGGTGGTGTTCTCCATGCCAACTCAGTGCCTGGCTTGAACCTCTGGAAGGGAACAGGACTGACAACCAAGTAAGGAGCTCTCCTCTGGCAAAAGATAAAATCAGAAATAAAATGATTCAGTGACATTACACTTGTTCAAACAGCAATGATGTGAGATTAGATTGTGGACCCTAGCTGGAAAGCAAAGAGCTTGGTTTGCATGAAACATGCCAGCAAGTAACCCTCCAGGGATGCAGGTAGTGCTGTGGTCTAAACCAAGGAGCCTCTTGGGTTTGCCGATCAGAAGGTCAGCAGTTTGAATCCCCGCAACAGGGTGATTCCTGCCAACTTAACAGTTCGAAAGCACACCAGTGCAAGTAGATAAATAGGTACCACTGTGGCGGGAAGGTAAACGGCATTTCCGTATGCTCTGGTTTCCGTCACAGTGTTCTGTTGCACTAGAAGCGGTTTAGTCATGCTGGCCACATGACCCGGAAAGCTGTCTGTGGACAAACGCCGGCTCCCTCAGCCTGAAAGCGGGATGAGCGCCGCACCTCATAGTCGCTTTTGACTGGACTTAACTGCCCAGGGGTCCTTTACCTTTACCTTACCAGGTAAGGAGCAGCTACACATTTATTCCGCATATTGCAGTTCTTAAAAACAAGGCAACAGAAAAGGGAGAAAGCAATGATGACCTGGAAATACACAAATCCCGTTTAAGGCTGAATTCTAGAAGTTACCAAAGAACAGAACCCTCACCCCACTCATTGCTAGTCTCCAGAAGATGGAGACTATCTTTGCTCTGATAACTAAACTCGATGCGTTGTTGAAATTTTAGGAACATGGGAAGCTGCTTCATACTGAATTGGACCATTGGTCCACCTTGCCTAGTTTTGCACAGTAACTGACAGTGGCTTGCTGGGTTTTCAGGATCTCTCCCAGCGCCATCCAGAGATGCCAGGGAGTGGACCTTCTGCACAGAAAACAGATACTGTACTCTGCTGCTGAACTACAGCCTTTCCCCTTGTTCACTCTAGCTGAGAAAAACTGGTTCCTTTCTCACTTCTTGAGGTGGCAGCAGAGCTTTGCTTTCCTTGCATTTGTTGTCAAGAGAGACAAAATATTATTCTGCCTTTCTGGCAAAGTGTGCAGGCCCATGGACGGAAGGGCAGCAGCTCACAAAAGGGAAGGCAGGCTGCACCGCAATGGAGGCCTTGTGGTGGGGAGTTGCCAAGAAAAGCCTCAGAGGAGAAACAGAAAGTATATTTTTATAACTACAAAGATTTAGTTAATTGCTTTAATTTACAGTCTTCCCCCCGCCAAAGTCAGTTCAAATCCACAGCATCCTTGGAAAAGTGTGTTTTATTGCTACGGACTTGGTAAATAAAAAAGAAAGAAAGAAGGAAAATGCGATTTTGAAATGGAAAAAAGCTGTGTGTGACTTTATGCCTTTTGCATGCGTGTGTAATGTTCCACCCCATGACTCACAGAAAGATGGGAAGCCATGTTCCAACCATTTGTTTTAGCATAAATCAGAAGACAAAGTGAAAAAGAATTATATAAATGGGAACGAATTATTCTGGCACTATAGTTTTAGATTTAAAAAAATAAAAATAAAGGATCATTTATAACAGTGAATGTTGCTAAGGGAATAAACACATAACATGGGATCTGGAATGTATCTAAATGTCACTGAAGTTTTGTAGTGTCTGGACCATCTCTGTAAATTAAAGCATTCTGAATCTAGTGTGTAAGACTCTGTAAGACATCCTTAAAGTTTATGTTTGCTAAGGGAAATAAAGCAAATAGATCAGATTTGAAGCTTTTGAAGCACAGTCCAAACACATTTCCAAGGATATCTCAGCAGAATCATTTGTAACATTCTTAGCCAACCAAAACTGGCTGCAGAAGAAAATAAGAAATGATACTTATGCATATGGAGAACCTGCATTTTCACAGGACAAACTAATTCTGATAACAAAATTAACTCATTTTTTTAAGGATTGCATGCCTAGCAAATGTTAGCAAGTTGGGTGGTCGCCTTAGTCCTGGGGTTCCAAATGTGGTGCCCATGGGTGCTACAGTGACCTCAGACATCTCCCTTGGCACCCATCAATACCTTCTGTCCCTCCCTTTTTAAAAAAAGTTATTTTTGTGTTTTGTGGGGAACATTGTCTATTTTTGGGGGTGGGGGTGTTTCTGAGCATTAACACCATTTTTTCTCCTATGAACGCCCTGCCAATGAAGCATGTGTTGAACTTACACCAAAAGAGGGACACAAGGCAGTGGAATAAATATAGTAACAGTTCTCAGGGTGTCATAAGAACATGAGAAGAGCCAGCTGGATGAGGCCAATAACCCACATGGTCCAGCATCTTGTTCTCACGTCAGCCAACCAGATGTCTATGCGAAGCTTGAAAGCCGGACCTGACACTGGCAAATATGCTACAAAGTGTCTTGTGTGCTGCAATGGATTACAATGTGAGAACAACTTAACATGCAAGGAGGAGGAACACGCAATATTGTGACAGTAAGTGCTTTAGATTTGTGAAGCGCAGAAATACTGCTTCTCCTAAGGGAATGGTGTGGGGAGCTTCCCAAACCCCAGGAACTGCTGTATTTTCTATGACTGAAAAAGCAAGCCACATGTTTAGGAGCATAAACGCAGCTGCCTAACTTTAATAATCCTCCGTGGCCTAAATCTTTTTCCAGTGGCAGACAACAAAAGCGAACCATTTTGCACGCGGATGAAGACCTTGTGAAAGCACAACTTCTAACCAGAGCCCAGTTCACAGATGTAAAGCTTTCTTTTTCAGCTCTAGCACAACAGATGGGGTCTTCAGGGAGAAGAGTTGATAATCTGTGGATTAAAGACTCCCTAATTACACACCGATTACAGCTGTATTGTGGGGGCAGATGAAACAGGCAGACATAGCCATATCTACTCTAAACAAGTACCAGATGGCCTTTAACCTGGAGGTCCCTTTGCCCATTAGAAAGAACCTGAAATAACATGGGAGCGTTCTTTGCTAAGCTTAGGGTATAGAGAAGAGTGGCCAGAGCTCTCCCAAAGCCGTTAACACTACAGTTTACATCAATGGGGCAGAACAGTGCTGTGGCATTGAGGTTAGGTCTGTGCCAACACCCTGACGGAGTCAGTTAGTTGCTTAATGTTCATGCATCTGCACAGCCCCAACCCTGATGCCTTTCTGCTCCTCACCCCCAGTCCTGTCCAGGGAAGGTGTAGCAAAATTGTTGTCCAAAAGGCAACGCCTTGGCTATTCCTCATTACATCACCTCTACTGATAGCCAGGTTCTCTAAAGTTACTCTAGCTCTCCTATTATTCCAAAAGAATATAAAGATAAAACTATGATCCAATGGAAGTAATTCTTTATGAACCACCTAAGCCTCCTGATCCATAAGCGAGAAAACCATCAATATCCCATTGATCAGCAAAGAACCAAGTCAACTAGCTCAGGTATGTTGATAGTTGTAATTCCGATCCAGCATTTAAATTGTCAAAACACAAAGCTATAAAGTCAGATGATGCTGTACATCATGGGGAGGCAAACTAAGGCCCGGGGGCTGGATGCGACCCAATTGCCTTCTAAATCTGGCCCACAGATTGTGCGGGAATCAGCGTGTTTTTACATGAGTAGAATGTGTGCTTTTATTTAAAATGCATCTCTGGGTTATTTGTGGGGCATAGGAATTCATTCACACACAGACCCCAGTCTGGCCCCCCACCAGGTCTGAGGGACATTGGACCAGCCCCCTGCTGAAAAAGTTTGCTGACCCCTGCTGTACATTCTCACTTTAACAGGTTTACATCTGCTCACTTGTACAGTTTATCTCCATTCTGTCAAATTTATAATTGCTTCTTTGTTATTAGCAGTTCTATCATTGGAGGCAGATTTTGCATAATTGCTAGGACCATTTTTAGGTAGCCTCCCATAACAAAAATAAAATATTTCATATTAGAAGCTGTGATCCTTAGCTGTCTTCCAGCACTGGTCATTTAGGGACAGTTAGGCATAAGCACCTTCAGCAATGAAGCCCTACTTATTTCCAAGATGTTGGTTTTGATCCATAAAGCTTTAAACGACTCAGGACCACAATACCGCAAGGACCGCCTCGCACCATATGAACTGACCTGGACCCTGTGATCCTCATTTGAGGCCCTTCTTTGTGTGCTTTCTCTGTGCGAGATCTGGAGGGAAGCAACATGAGAATAGGCCAGAGGGTTACGTAAACGGTGGTTCAACTGTACATGGCTTTTAGAAGACATCTGAAGGCAGCCCTGTTTAGGGAAGTTTTTAATGTTGGATGTTTTGTCGTGTTTTAATTTTCTGTTGGGAGCCACCCAGAGTGGCTGGGGAAACCCAGCCAGATGGGCAGGGTAGCAGTTTAATAATAATAATAATAATAATAATAATAATAATAATTGTCTGCTCCTGATTCCCTAAAACTGGTATTCAGTGGCAAACTGCCTCCAATTCCAGAGGTAGTACAGAGCCAATGTGACTAGGGGCAATCAGATAGCCTTATCAGTGTGTCTAATCCCCTTTTAAAGCCTGTGCCCTTGCCAACAATGGCAGTTGGCATGAATGACGCTCCCTAATCCCGGGCACGAGATTGGCCAGGAGTTTCAGGACACAAGATTACAACCCTTTAAAAATGAGCAGTCAAGAGTTGCCAGCTGGGATGTGCATTCCTGTGCCTTCAATCTCTCGGCTATATCTCTTAGGCACCAAAGTAACAGGAGGCCTCCCGGCTCACAGACTCAATGTCATTCCAAGGCCACAGCATTTTATTAGCAGGATTAAAGACTAGGAGGAAATATTT